TAATTGCTGTGGCCAGTGTTTCAAGAACTATGTTAAATAGAAGTGGTGGAAGAGGGCATCCCTGTCTTGTTGCAGATTTTAGAGGGAATGCCTTCAGTTTTTCTCCCTTTAGAATGATGTTGGCCTGAGGCTTAGTGTAGATAGCCTTTACAGTATGGAGATATGTTCCTGTTATCCCTAGTTTTTCTAGTGTTTTGAACATAAAGGGGTGCTGTATTTTATGAAATGCTTTTTCTGCATCTATTGAGATGATCATGATTCTTATCTTTAAGTCTATTGATGTGATAAATTACATTTATTGATTAAATCACCAAATGTTGAACCAACCTTACATCCCTGGGATGAATCCCACTTGATTATGTGCACAATCTTTTTGATATGCTTTTGTATTCGATTTGCCAGAACTTTATTGAGGATTTTTGCATCTATGTTCATTAGAGATATTGGTCTGAAGTTTTCTTTCTTTGAAGTGTCTTTATCTGGTTTTGGAATCAGTGTGATATTGGCCTCATAGAATGAGTTTGGAAGTACTCCCTCTTTTTCTATTTCCTGAAATAAATTGAAGAGTATTGGTATTAGTTCTTGCAAACAAGCTTTTATGGCAGCCCTCTTTATGCTACTCCAGAATTATTAAAGGTCCAAAAGTACAATGGCCTTATGGTAGATGTGGAGAGCCTAGGAGTCATCACTGGATACTGCCTTTTAATGGGTAGAACATTGCAGAAACAGGTGTAAGAGGATTACTTTTTATGTGTCTGTGGAACTCCTAATCTTTATTTATTTATTTATTTTTTATTGTTTAGAATCTTCATTGATAAATATGGAGAATATTTCTAAGTGAAATAAGTCAGACGCAGAAAGGCAAATACTACATGATCTTGCTTACATGTGCAATTAAAAGAGTCAATCACATAGAAGCAGAAAGTATAATGTCTGTTGGCAGAGGCCAGGGGGAAGGAGACATATAAAGTGTTACTCAAAGTATACAATTTTAGTTACGTGAGATAAGTAAATTCTAGAGACCTGTTGAACATCAAGGGGCATGTGATTACCAACCCTGTTTTATATATTTCAATAATTGCTAAGAAAGTAAATCTTATGTTGAGTGCTCTTACCACAAAAGGAAAAAAAAAAAAGGATAAGGGGGGTAGCTTTTGGAGGTAATAGATACACTTATGTCATTATTTATAATGATTTCATAGGAATATACTTACTTCCAAACACATCAAGTTGTGTGCAATAAACATCTACAGCTTTTTGTATGTCAATCATGCCACTATAAAGTGGTTTATAAAAAGAATTTGGTACATTCCAATAAGGAAAAATGTTCATCCTTGTGTATTAATAGGCACAATCAATAAGACATAGGTTTATAGTGACTTTAAAATCATTAGGGGTTGCTACCTCAAAACCCATGCTACTGCTTGTACTTTATTTTATTTTATTTTATTTTTTTGCCTTTCCTATCCTCTACTATCCCCCCTCCCCTCCCCTCCCCTCCCCT